CCCCCCAAAATGTCTGTGCACGCCACTGCCTGAACTATTGCCACCTGCACGAGTTTGATTTGTGGGATGTAAGCCTTCCAGTTTGGTGTGCATGCGTGATTTCCTTTATTAAAGCTATTAAAGATTGAAGTTTTAGTTTTTATGATATGTAGCGAGCCTGGCGCTCAAAGTCCTTTTACTCCTATTGCTCTGTTTTATTTCAGTGAACAGAGGACGTGCCAGTGGCCCTGGGACCTCAGGTGGTGGGTCGTTTTCACACTTTCCTTTGTACAGCACTGGGTGGGCTGTAGTGATTGTGTTGTGTGATTTTTCTTTTGGGTCCACGGCTGCTGGTAAGTCCAAGTTCCATGATTGTTTTTAACTTCAGGACACTGTCAACAACGACGCTACATTTTGTTTTCTAATATTTCATCTATTTTCACTATAAACAAAATTATTGATATTGGAGCCAACCTGCGTCGGTGTGCATCCTTGAATCTGTGCGGCCTCTCTTATTCCTTTAATCTATTTTTCTTAAATAGGAATTTCCTGGGGGTGAAATTCCCCTTGGTGGCGTTGTCATTTTATTACAATTTCTTTTATAACCCCGCTGACCACTTGGTCACACTAATGAAGTGGCAGCAGGGCTCTGAGTATGTTGTTCACTCAATAGCAGGAAAATTGAGAGAGAGAGAGAGATAGAGACACACACACACACCAAAAATGGGATTTACGAAAAATGATGATTAAAAACACGGAAATGTAAAATAATTAATCATACATGTTTATAAAATGAAACTTGATATTGGAGCAAGTTGTTGCCGATATTTATTTATTTTTATTCTATATGCATTTAATTGAGAGCTTCTTTCCGTTGCTTCCTTATTTTCTTAAGTGATTTAGGATAAGTTGAACAACGATGAAGTGTTTCATCTATCAGTTGGATTATAGGACTTGGACTTGCTATTTCCTGAGCCAAATTGGAGTCGAGAAGAGGAAGGGCCCTGCCTCCATGCGACAGCGGAGAACGTGAACTTGCGCGCCTGAAGGCCCTGCCTCCATGGGCAGGGCCTCCACTCCGCCCTGGCAGGTATAAAACGCACAGGCACACACAGAAACACTTCACTTCTTACACCGGCTCAGGCAAACGCTTATAAGGTAAGATTTACAGACTTTTGATTTCAAATACAAAC